GGGGAATGCAGGTCAATGTGGGGGAATGGAGGTCAGTGTGTGAGTAAAGTGTGGGGGAATGCAGGTCAGTGTGAGGGAATGCAGGTCAGTGTGTGAGTAAAGTGTGGTGAAATGTGTAAGGGTCACCGTGGGGAATGCAGGTCAGTGCGGTGAGTAAGCGGTGGGGAATTGAGGTCAGTCGAAAAGTGTGGGGGGAATGCAGGTCAGTTTGTGAGTAAAGTGGGGGAATGCAGGTCAATGTGGGGAAATGCAGGTCAGTGTGTGAGTAAAGGTGGGGGAATGCAGGTCAGTGTGTGAGTAAAGTGTGGGGGAATGCAGGTCAATGTAGGTCAGTGTGTGAGTAAAGTGTGGGGGAATGCAGGTCAATGTGAGGGAATGCAGGTCAGTGTGTGAGTAAAGTGTGGGGGAATGCAGGTCAGTGTGTGGGAATGGAGGTCAGTGTGTGAGTAAAGTGTGGGGGAATGCAGGTCAGTGTGTGAGTAAAGTGTAGGGAGATAGAGGTCAGTGTAGACCAAAGTATTGTGGGATGGAAGTCAAATATATGGTGGGAAAAAAAATAGGTACTGGAATCTCACCTGCTGGATTAAGCCGACAAGTAACTGCATGAGAAAGAACTGAAAAATAGATAAAAATTACAACAGGAAAAAGCAGAATATGTAAATTTCACAGTGCATTAGGAGGACGTCAGCTACATGTAGGGTCACAATGTATCGGTATAATGAAGGTATAGATGATGTAGGGTTGGTGTGTGGTGTCAGTCTAGCTGTATAATGAAGGTATAGATGATGTAGCGTTGGTGTGTGGTGTCAGTCTAGCTGTATAATGAAGGTATAGATGATGTAGGGTTGGTGTGTGGTGTCAGTCTAGCTGTATAATGAAGGTATAGATGATGTAGGGTTGGTGTGTGGTGTCAGTCTAGCTGTATAATGAAGGTATGGATGATGTAGCGTTGGTGTGTGATGTCAGTCTAGCTGTATAATGAAGGTATAGATGATGTAGGGTTGGTGTGTGGTGTCAGTCTAGCTGTATAATGAAGGTATGGATGATGTAGGGTTGGTGTGTGGTGTCAGTCTAGCTGTATAATGAAGGTATATATGACAGACTGTGTCAGAAATCTGTTTTGTTAGAAAGGACAGCTCACCATCTCAAATAGACGACGCAGAAGGAATCTCTTGCGGATTCTTGGAGATCGAGGAAAGTTCAGCTCATAGCAAAGTGTAGGGGCAAACGCAAAGTAATAAATATCTGAGGGCGAGAAGGAGAACATGTGAAGAACTGTAGAAAACCACTGATTCAATTAAAGAGAAGTTTAGCCAGAAGTCACCCTCACACCTCTGTGTGTCAGGTTTCCTGGGTACGAAATATGCTTCTTCCCAATCTCTCCATTGGCTTTCTTCATTACCGGAACTGGAGATGGGGGCGAAAAGAAGAGAAGGATTCAGCATGGCATCCGATATTTATTACTCTACATAATATTTACAATTGGAGTTACTGGACTGAATAAATGTATTAAACATTCTAAGCTGCTGGGTCCTCCCTAACTGGAAAAGGTCCATCATATTCATTAAATCACCGACTGCTCACAAATGGTGCACAAGGCACATTTTCCTCCGGCAGTGGTGGCGCCTCTGACACTGGGAAGAGTCAGAATTAATCTTATTAAATAACTTCCAGTTGTAGAATAGGTCACCATCTGTCCCTGTAATTAAATGCCAGGTGGAGAAGGTAACGAGACAATCAGAGGAATGTTTAACGTGTTTCAGGCTACGACAATCCTCGGACACAGGCTTACATTTATCACAAAATAATCAAGCTGTGGAAATCTGAGAAGTTAAACATTTTAGACCAGAATTTTCTAAATTTGTAATAATGATCAATGCTGATGGAGACAGTAGTCACATGAGAGGAAGTCAAGTCTAAAGCCTGATCAGCTTATCAGCTCGAATAACTCACCAGACTGTGATCGGCCCAGTGTCCGGGCCTGTGTCAGCCTTCGCGCTCTGCACCACAGATTCACATCTTTATAGGAGAACAGCTTCAGGAAGAGTATGGTGTAAACACTGAGTGCAAATACTGCTCCCACTGGAAGACACAAACAGTGTGCATTATGGGAAATGGAATTTGTCCCTCCCACTGGAGAAAGGAGCTATGGGACACAGAGTCGGTCCCTCCCGCTGCAGGGTGACACAGACAGAAGGAGCTATGGGACACAGAGTCTGTCCCTCCCACTGCAGGGTGACACAGACAGAAGGGAGCTATGGGACATGGAGTCTGTCCCTCCCACTGCAGGGTGACACAGACAGAAGGAGCTATGGGACACGGAGTCTGTCCCTCCCACTGCAGGGTGACACATACAGAAGGAGCTATTGGACACAGAGTCTGTCCCTCCCACTGCAGGGTGACAGACAGAAGGGAGCTATGGGACACGGAGTCTGTCCCTCCCGCTGCAGGGTGAGACAGACAGAAGGAGCTATGGGACACAGAGTCTGTCCCTCCCACTGCAGGGTGACACAGACAGAAGGAGCTATGGGACACAGAGCCTGTCCCTCCCACTGCAGGGTGACAGACAGAAGGAGCTATGGGACACAGAGTCTGTCCCTCCCACTGCAGGGTGACACAGACAGAAGGAGCTTTGGGACACGGAGTCTGTCCCTCCCACTGCAGGGTGACATAGAGGGAACTATGGGACACAGAATCTGTACCTCCCACTGCAGGGTGACATAGAGGGAACTATGGGACACAGAATCTGTACCTCCCACTGCAGGGTGACACACACAGAGCTATGGGAGAAATTTTGAGTAATGGTGGGTACTCTAATTCCGGGGCTGGGAGGGCTCTATAAAGCCCAGTGTTAGTTACCTGGAGTTATTGAACGGACGGTGAGTACTACCAGAACCGGGAGGCAGAGAATGGTTGTGAGGAGGAGTGTGTAGAGGAAGAGTCCAAAGCGTTCAGACAGGCCGCCCTGTGGAGAGAAAAATCAATCACTTGCTGATGATATTCGAGAGGTGACTGAACTAGTTTTTACCGCAACACAAAGAAGATCCCTGCAGGAACAAATATTCTCAGACACTACTAGCACACGCGGGAACCAGTTTGGCCCAGGTGTTCGTACTTTGAGATATTCCCCATCAAAATGGGCTCACCAGCAATTTGGCAGTCTCTAGGGTGTTACGCGATGCCTGTACTACACTTATTCTGTGCTCTTTTCCATACTCACCGATGCCAATCTTCTCTCCAGGTGCAGCGCTCCAAGGATGAAAACATTGGACCCTGCGATAGACAGAACATATACTGCTACTCAACAACGCGTTCCATCTGGGCATCCACACGCTACAAGTAAGAAGGACTTCACTCTGCTACACAATTAACACTCAGCATGGGCTAGCAGAGAGGTGGGGGCTATTATCGCACACTATGGAATAGCAGAGAGGTAGGGGCCATTAACGCTCACTATGGGCTAGCAGAGAGTTAGGGGCCATTAATGCTCACTATGGGCTAGCAGAGAGGTGGGGGTTAGTAACGCTCAGTATGGGCTAGCAGAGAGGTGGGGGGTATTAACGCTCACTATGGGCTAGCAGAGAGGTGGGGGGCTATTAACGCTCACTATGGGCTAGCAGAGAGGTGGGGGGCTATTAACGCTCACTATGGGCTAGCAGAGAGGTGGGGGGCTATTAACGCTCACTATGGGCTAGCAGAGAGGTGGGGGGCTATTAACGCTCACTATGGGCTAGCAGAGAGGTGGGGGGGATATTAACGAGCCTATAATGACAGACACTACATCTACATCCATTTATAAAGCCAATATTAATGTTGTTTTTCAGCCAATATATTTGATTGATGAGCCTTTTCCCATCCCACAGGCCAGCCTGCACTGCTAGAGATATAGAACCACAACTTACCCAGCACCAGGCAGAGCGCTGGCCAACTATAGGGGTCCTTGACAAACAGTGAAACCACCTGAATGGGATCCACCAGTATCCCGTACCTGGGAAGAAATAACCCATATTAGACAGGGATTTAAAGGTGCAGGCCCTGCCTGTCCTCACTGGGGCGTATGTAGAGAATGCAGCCTGGTGAGCACTCTAAAAAGCCATGTAGTGTCAGTGCGGAGCGCAGACCAATCAGAAAAGGGCGATCTGCACAGGTGACTCATTCTACAGATGGAAATTAGGTTTCAATTCTCTTTAAGTTTTATGTTTATGGTTTCAATGAGGAAATGGGGACCAGATGTAAAACGGTTTCAAAAAAAAAGATTTAAAAAGCATTCTCCACAATGTCATCTCCTATAGATACAAAGTAGGGCATTATGGGAGGAACAGGAGTGGCCGGGCCGCTGAGCGAGCACCAGCAGTGGCCGGGCCGCTGAGCGAGCACCAGCAGTGGCCGGGCCGCTGAGCGAGCACCAGCAGTGGCCGGGCCGCTGAGCGAGCACCAGCAGTGGCCGGGCCGCTGAGCGAGCACCAGCAGTGGCCGGGCCAGTTACTGGTTTGGGCGCAGCGCACTGGAGAAGATCACACTACAAATACAACTACATCAAAACCAAGTATCTTTACAATAATAATAATAAAAAAAAATAAAATAAAAAAAAACGTGTTTAAAACAAATTTGTAGCATTAATAAACATCAAACATTCAATCCTGGCAGAATCCAGTCACATTCCCTGCGTAGGATGGCTGCGCCTTGCAACATGCTGCCTGAGAATCATGAGAGGTAATGTAAATACTTACTTAATAATGTTTTCTAGGAAGAGCCGCGCATTACTTAAAACCTGAAATAAAACACATCCTCATTAAAATCTGCAGAATTCGCCCCTCGTGGTGATAACAGAGGGAAGCGGCAATGTGCATGGAACTCGTGGTGATAACAGCAGAGGGAAGCGGCAATGTGCATGGAACTCGTGGTGATAACCAGAGGGAAGCAGCAATGTGCATGGAACTCGTGGTGATAACCAGAGGGAAGCAGCAATGTGCATGGAACTCGTGGTGATAACAGCAGAGGGAAGCGGCAATGTGCATGGAACTCGTGGTGATAACCAGAGGGAAGCAGCAATGTGCATGGAACTCGTGGTGATAACCAGAGGGAAGCGGCAATGTGCATGGAATAACTGGCTGTATGGACAAGCCCATCTTACAACGGCTGCTTAATGTCGCCTCAAATTATATGACGTTTAGCTATTTTATTTCTTGATAAGACAGCCTTGCATTTAACGAATATTCTCCTCTATCACCGAGCTTGGCTACCCAATGGGCTGTTATGACAAACTGCTGCTAGCAATGGGCTTTCTAGGCTTCATTTTTGACACAGGGAGCCCAGTGAGTTCTTTTTCAAACTCCAGCTCTCAAAGCCGAAACGTAAAATAAACCCTGTGCCCTATGTTTAACTCCCCATGTACCCCTATATTAAATTTAACCAAGCTCTAGTCCGGAACAGCCCGTATACTACAACTTTACCCCCTCTCAAGCTATTTATCTTCTTAACCCCTTTCTAACCGTTAGCTACGCACACTCACTATACTCACAGACTCAAATACAATACCCTACAAGCAAAGAAAGGCACAGACATACACCAAATATGGATATGGCTTCTACAGGTTAATCCCACGCTGCGCATGCACAGATAATGCACTTTGCTGTTAGAGGTGTAACTCAGCATTATAAACACTGCTTTTAGTTGGAGTAACCCTTTAAATCTGTCGAAACATATCAGGTTAATACATTTAGACATAAGCATATTATTTACATAAAAATAATAATTGCGGCGAAAGTGACCTCGACACTGGTTTTTGGAGGGGACTACTTGCCTGCCTTTTACCCTGTGACTATGGCCCCTGCAATTTGTTTTGGCTGAGAGACCCTAATTGTGCTTATTGGGTCTGTAAACAATGGCTCTTTGAATTTTCAAAGTGGTCGAAGTGGCACTTCGGATACAGTTGAAGTAGTCGAAGTGGCCGCCACGTGTTCGAATGGCTATCTTGTTTAGTCGAACATGTTCAGTGGTGTTTTGTCGTCGAGTCGTCTGAAAAGTTACCTTCCCTGGGACTTCGACAGGAATCGAAAAGCGTTCGACAATTCGAACGGTACTTTGACTGGTTAAAATAGACCGGCTGCACAGCCTAATTCTCTGGAACTATTTTGGGCATGAAACTATGCAGTCGGTCAAAAAGAGGCTTCCAGCTAACTTTTGAACCCCTGAACTGATCTGGGTGATTTTTAAGTATGTTGTTCTCCCAGATCGGGGTTATCAGGGGATGTGTTAAGGGGATATGTTGTATTTTGGGGTACTTATTGGACTAATGTGTGCTTTTACTGTCTGGGGATAATTTAATCCACTATCTGCCTTAATTGTATCATAGGCAGAGGGGAGGGCTTGTGTACTGTATGTGGGAGTGTCGTTAATTATCACATTGTTTTGACTGGTTACAGTCCATAATGAGAGTGAGGCAGAGGAGACTGGTTACAGTTGATAATGAAAGCGAGGTCGGGGAGACTGGTTACAGTTGATAATGAAAGCGAGGTCGGGGAGACTGGTTACAGTTGATAATGAGAGCGAGGTCGGGGAGACTGGTTACAGTTGATAATGAGAGCGAGGTCGAGGACACTGGTTACAGTCCATGATGGGAGCGAGAAGACTGGTTACAGTCCGTGATTAGAGCAAGGTCGGGGTCCATGATGAGAGTGAGGAGGCTGGTTAAAGTTGATCATGAGAGCGAGGTCGAGGAGATGGGTTACAGTTGATAATGAGCGCGAGGACGAGGAGATGGGTTAAAGTTGATAATGAGAGTGAGGCCGGGGAGACTGGATAAGAATTATCACCTTCTCTGTAGCTACTTACGGCTTTGAATGTGTTTTTGGCTAACGAGACCAGCAGAAGAATGTTGCATCAGTCTGTGGACATTTCAGCCTTAAAGTGCACTAGCCAATAACTGAGCGGCACCAACTTCAAATATGCAGAAGAGGCACAAAAATAAATTTTTCTAATTGCAACGTTTGGAGTTTTATTATATTTGGTCTCACAATCTTTTTGACACCTAGCTATATAATTTTAAAACACACAAATTATATATATCTCTCTCTCTCTCTTTCATTACACACACCTGAAGAGCCATTCAATGTTTAGGGCAAGGCCTTTCTCCCATGACACTCTGAATGACATTTGTAAAAAAATGCATCATGTGTGGTCAATGATTTTTCCCATAGTGGGGTTAAATTAATTTGCATGGCATGCTCTAGCAGAGTGTGTGTGTGTGTGTGTGTGTGTGTGTGTGTGTGTGTGTGTGTGTGTGTGTGTGTGTGTGTGTGTGTGTGTGTGTGTGTGTGTGTGTGTGTGTATATATATATACATATACACACACATACACATACACACACACACACACACACAGCTCTCCCTCAACTGAGCGTGATGCCCAGAACTGCTTCATACTCACCAGCATAACCACACACCAGTTCAGAACGCCGCGGTAGTTGCTGTAGCCGCTGGCTGAGCTGAGGAGAGACTCCTGGAGTTTGTGGCATCTGCAAGGGAAGAGGAGAGATCAGTGAATGACTGTTTGATTTTTATTTTTTTTGGTATGAAATTGTAAAGTTAATGTGTGATAAAGCCCAGAAGATGGGATTTCTCCAGCAAAAATCCACATGACATGTAGACAGGACCTTCTGGCTCGTTAGCCCTATAAGCTCCGCCCTTTACACCTGGCAGTCAGTATAGAGAGCCACCTCCATCTTAGCTCCCTGAATGAGCATCATTAACAGGAAAAGGACTGTTACACCATTAGACCATCCATAGAAACATAGAATGTGACGGCAGATAAGAACCAGTCGGCCCATCTAGTCTGCCCAATTTTCTAAATACTTTCATTAGTCCCTAGTCTTATCTTATAGTAAGGATAGCCTTATGCCTATCCCACGCATGCTTAAACTCCTTTACTGTGTTGACCTCTACCACTTCAGCTGGAAGGCTATTCCATGCATCCACTACCCTCTCAGTAAAGTAATACTTCCTGATATTATTTTTAAACCTTTGTCCCTCTAATTTAAGACTATGGCCTCTTGTTGTGGTAGTTTTTCTTCTTTTAAATTCAGAATCCAAGTCAGCTGGGTCAAGGACTTCATGGCTGGGATTATTAGAAGAACTAACAATACATTAATAGGCCACTGGAAATTCACTGCAATATCGCTGCCTTAATATAGCGAACCTACTCTAAAATTAGGGACAATTTAAATAGAAAATAGCATTTCCCTAAACTTTTAAGATATTTACCTTTCCTTATATTTAACAAACAAGTATTAGTGAGGTGTGAAATCAAATAGAAAAATTCACCCACCATACCCAGCAGCTCAGCACCTCCATCTTAGCTCCCTGTCAGTCATTGTTATAAGCTCCGCCCTTTACACCTGGCAGTCAGTATAGAGAGAGCCACCTCCATCTTAGCTCCCTGTCAATCATTGTTATAAGCTCCGCCCTTTACACCTGGCAGTCAGTATAGAGAGAGCCACCTCCATCTTAGCTCCCTGTCAATCATTGTTATAAGCTCCGCCCTTTACACCTGGCAGTCAGTATAGAGAGCCACCTCCATCTTAGCTCCCTGTCAATCATTGTTATAAGCTCCGCCCTTTACACCTGGCAGTCAGTATAGAGAGAGCCGCCTCCATCTTAGCTCCCTGTCAATCATTGTTATAAGCTCCGCCCTTTACACCTGGCAGTCAGTATAGAGAGAGCCACCTCCATCTTAGCTCCCTGTCAATCATTGTTATAAGCTCCGCCCTTTACACCTGGCAGTCAGTATAGAGAGAGCCGCCTCCATCTTAGCTCCCTGTCAATCATTGTTATAAGCTCCGCCCTTTACACCTGGCAGTCAGTATAGAGAGAGCCGCCTCCATCTTAGCTCCCTGTCAATCATTGTTATAAGCTCCGCCCTTTACACCTGGCAGTCAGTATAGAGAGAGCCACCTCCATCTTAGCTCCCTGTCAATCATTGTTATAAGCTCCGCCCTTTACACCTGGCAGTCAGTATAGAGAGAGCCACTTCCATCTTAGCTCCCTGTCAATCATTGTTATAAGCTCCGCCCTTTACACCTGGCAGTCAGTATAGAGAGAGCCACCTACATCTTAGCTCCCTGTCAATCATTGTTATAAGCTTCGCCCTTTACACCTGGCAGTCAGTATAGAGAGAGCCACCTCCATCTTAGCTCCCTGTCAATCATTGTTATAAGCTCCGCCCTTTACACCTGGCAGTCAGTATAGAGAGAGCCACCTCCATCTTAGCTCCCTGTCAATCATTGTTATAAGCTCCGCCCTTTACACCTGGCAGTCAGTATAGAGAGAGCCGCCTCCATCTTAGCTCCCTGTCAATCGTTGTTATAAGCTCCGCCCTTTACACCTGGCAGTCAGTATAGAAAGAGACTGACCTTACCATCCGGTCCAGCCTCGCACTGTGGATGCTCTGCATGGAGAGGGTGCTGACTGCCTGTGGGTGGTCTCTCTCTCTCTCTCTCTCAATTCATTCTTGGGCTGAATTGCTCATTGACAGCTGGCAGAAAGACCCATTTCAATAGGTTTTACTCCCATGCTATACATTTAGATGGGTTTTACGATCGTTTCCCTGGAGCATAGAGTGTGTACGTATTAATACAATCAATGTAATATCAAGATTAGGATTTCCTTCTAGAGCTATTCCTCTCAGAACATTAAATAATATACACGATAATATTATTGATAACTCACTTTCTTAAACGGGATTACTGTTAACCCGCTACTCTTAGCGATAACGTGAATAATTGATCTTAATTCAAACTGGCATGGATTGACACCACGAAGTATAGATAAATAACTTTCTGCTCTGCTCGAAGTCCGACTGTCTTATATTCCAGATATGGACAAATGATAACATTAATAACCTGTCCCAGATTGCTCACTGGGCAAAATCATGTCATTTGATAATTTAACACCAGATACCGAATGTTACAGTTTTATCAGAATTACATTTCTAATGGCTAGAAAGGAAATTGAAAAACATCCAGCATTTGAAGAGTTTATTAATAAATAAATAAACAAACAAACAAAGCCTTTAGCAGATAGTTTAAAGGCCATCCTCCATATTACTCATTATTTAATAAAATGTTAAAATATAGGGAAGTATTTCCATGTAAACAAGTGGGAGAAGCCTTTTTGCAAGTTAAGGAAGAAGATTCATTGTTTACATGAAATAGATTTTAAGATTACGCACAGACAGGATCTGAATAAAATGACTATAGCAGAGCTCTAGTCCTAAACAGGACTTTCTCCACCACCTCTTCACGAAGTGGAACAAGGCACTACCATAGCTCCATTCCCCCAGTAACCGGACGACACATAGTTCTGGGAGAACTACTGAGGCTTTATTCAAGGACAGATCCCCAACATGGGGTCTCCATAGAGTAACATACAATCCCCACCCAGGCGTCTCTGTGTCTGGGAGATAATGGAGTCAAAGACCGGTAAATCAATTGTGACAATACGGCCTAATATATCATCCGTGGGTTTCTTTTTACATAACTTGCCCCACTAAATGCTAGGACTCCTCTCTGGTAGCGTACGCAGGATATACGGAGCTGACATGCAAGATAATGCATCTTGGACGTAAAAACCCAAGGGCAGAGTACAGAATATTTGATAGAGTCCTAACCTAAACATATGAGGAAAGGGATTTAGGGGTGATTATTTCAGATGACTTAAAGGTAGGCAGACAATGTAATAGAGCAGCAGGAAATGCTAGCAGAATGCTTGGTTGTATAGGGAGAGGTATTAGCAGTAGAAAGAGGGGAAGTGCTCATGCCATTGTACAGAACACTGGTGAGACCTCACTTGGAGTATTGTACACAGTACTGGAGACCGTATCTTCAGAAGGATATTGATACCTTAGAGAGGGTTCAGAGAAGGGCTACTAAACTGGTTCATGGATTGCGGGATAAAACTTACCAGGAAAGGTTAAAGGATCTTAACATGTATAGCTTGGAGGAAAGACGAGACAGGGGGGATATGATAGAAACATTTAAATATATAAAGGGAATCAACACAGTAAAGGAGGAGACTATATTTAAAAGAAGAAAAACTACCACAACAAGAGGACATAGTCTTAAATTAGAGGGACAAAGGTTTAAAAATAATATCAGGAAGTATTACTTTACTGAGAGGGTAGTGGATGCATGGAATAGCCTTCCAGCTGAAGTGGTAGAGGTTAACACAGTAAAGGAGTTTAAGCATGCGTGGGATAGGCATAAGGCTATCCTAACTATAAGATAAGGCCAGGGACTAATGAAAGTATTTAGAAAATTGGGCAGACTAGATGGGCCGAATGGTTCTTATCTGCCGTCGCATTCTACGTTTCTAGTGAGCGGAAACGTGTCCACCCAGACATCACAAGTAAGACGGTAAGGGGGCCGTGCCCCCCCAGAAAACATGTTTTTGGATAATGTTCACACTGTATGAAGAAGAGAAATCCACGTGTAGGATAATGGGCCATGCAGACAGGTTATAGTACACAGACACACCTTGTGTATACAGAGTGCGAGCTGGGGGAGGGGAGTAGCATTGAGTGTGAACAAACACACGTATTATATAAACATAGTGAGACTAATATACACAGATCTAGCCAGGCGCAGGGAGTGCGGACTATACACAGATCTAGCCAGGCGCAGGGAGTGCGGACTATACACAGATCTAGCCAGGCGCAGGGAGTGAGGACTATACACAGATCTAGCCAGGCGCAAGGAGTGCGGACTATACACAGATCTAGCCAGGCGCAGGGAGTGCGGACTATACACAGATAGGGGATCCAGCCAGGCGCAGGGAGTGCGGACTATACACAGATAGGGGATCCAGCCAGGCGCAGGGAGTGCGGACTATACACAGATAGGGAATCCAGCCAGACGCAGGGAGTGCGTACTATACACAGATAGGGGATCCAGCCAGACGCAGGGAGTGCATACTTGTGGCAAAAGTAACCTCGCCTCTGTCTTTTGGAGAAGCCTGCTTGCCAGCCTCCTGCCCTGTGACTATGGCCCCTGTAATAATCTGTTGGTGAAGCGGCACTTCAAAGTCCTGAAGCGGTTCAAACACGTGGCCGCGAGCACAATGAGCAGTGTTTGGTCATTGAGTGTATGGAACTCAAATCGGACACTCGACAGCGCGAACATCGCCGGACACACACCTTCCACTGATGTTCGGATATTCGAATGGGAAATCGAACGGCGTTCGGTGGGTATAAACTCCCAAACGAGAGACATAAACTGAGACTACTCCCGAAGCTTTACGTTCGGTATTTTATATGCTACTTCGAATCCCCGATGTGGAGCGACCACACAGCCTGATTTCCTGGAACTCTTTTTGGACAATAATTCTGTGTGCGGTGGGTTAAAACAAGACCTCCATGGAAATCCCGAAACCCCTGAATCGATCTGGGTGATTTTTGGATATGTTGTTCACCCAAATCGGGGCTACCAGGGCATATAACGTTTATAGGGTTTCCATGAGTTTTAGGGGTACTTTTTGGGTTTTATAAAATATGTGTTTTTCTGCCAGGAGATAATTGAGTTAATACAGTTGTAGCAGAATGGACCCTGCTATCATATTTTATACCAACTCTGTGTGAAAATAACAATGACTGTACGAGACATACTCCCTTGGCTTTGCAGGTTTCCCCTGTTTTGCCAGACCGTTCGTCAAAATCCATTCCCTTAAGTGGTTCCCACGGTTTTATTCATCAACCGTAGACCACCCAGCTATGGAGTGTGCCGCTCATTAACTCAGTTCACACCTCGTATAGACGAATATGTGGCGGCGCTATTCGGTATAAACAATCCACCGAACCAGATACATCCAATGAAGTTATGCACTACGGTTGCACTGGAAACTCCCTAGCCAGCATTTCTAGCATTGGCAAAAACATCCCTCCGCTCCCACACCGGTAACAAAACCAGTGGTTATGGTGTCTGTCAGTGGTGTCAGTCAGTGTCTATGGTCCCTGTCACTGGTTATGGTGTCTGCCTGTCAGTGGTTATGGTGTTAGTCAGTAGTTATGGTCCCTCCCTGTCAGGGGTTATGGTCTGTGGCTGTCAGTGGTTATGGTGTCAGTGGTTATGGTCCCTGTCTGTCAGTGGTTATGGTGTCAGTGGTTATGGTGGCTGGGTGTCAGTGGTTATGGTGGCTGGGTGTCAGTGGTTATGGTCCCTGTCAGTTGTTATGGTGTCAGTGGTTATGGTCCCTCCCTGTCAGTGGTTATGGTGTCAGTGGTTATGGTGTCAGTGGTTATGGTGTCAGTGGTTATGGTGTCTGTCTGTCAGTGGTTATGGTGGCTGTCTGTCAGTGGTTATGGTGTCAGTGGTTATGGTGGGTGTCTGTCAGTGGTTATGGTGTCCGTGGTTATGGTCCCTGTCAGTGGTTATGGTGGCTGTCTGTCAGTGGTTATGGTCCCTGTCAGTGGTTATGGTGGCTGTCTGTCAGTGGTTATGGTCCCTGTCAGTGGTTATGGTCCCAGTGGTTATGGTCCCAGTGGTTATGGTGTCAGTGGTTATGGTGGCTGTCTGTCAGTGGTTATGGTGGCTGGCTGTCAGTGGTTATGGTGTCAGTGGTTATGGTGGCTGTCTGTCAGTGGTTATGGTGTCAGTGGTTATGGTGGCTGGCTGTCAGTGGTTATGGTGGCTGGCTGTCAGTGGTTATGGTGGCTGGCTGTCAGTGGTTATGGTGTCAGTGGTTATGGTGGGTGTCAGTGGTTATGGTGTCAGTGGTTATGGTGGGTGTCTGTCAGTGGTTATGGTGGCTGTCTGTCAGTGGTTATGGTGTCAGTGGTTATGGTGTCTGTCGGTGGTTATGGTGTCAGTGGTTATGGTGTCAGTGGTTATGGTGGCTGTCTGTCAGTGGTTATGGTGTCTGTGGTTATGGTGTCTGTGGTTATGGTGTGTCAGTGGTTATGGTGTGTCAGTGGCTGTCAGTGGTTATGGTGGCTGTCTGTCAGTGGTTATGGTCCCTGTCAGTGGTTATGGTCCCTGTCAGTGGTTATGGTGGCTGTCAGTGGTTATGGTCCCTGTAAGTGGTTATGGTGTCAGTGGTTATGGTCCCTGTCAGTGGTTATGGTGTCAGTGGTTATGGTGTCAGTGGTTATGCGGTGTCAGTGGTTATGGTGTCAGTGGTTATGGCGGTGGCTGTCAGTGGTTATGGTGTCAGTGGTTATGGTCCCTGTCAGTGGTTATGGTGTGTGTCAGTGGTTATGGTCCCTGTCAGTGGTTATGGTCCCTGTCAGTGGTTATGGTGTCAGGCAGTTTGGTCCCGTCAGTGGTTATGGTGTCAGTGGTTATGGTGTCAGTGGTTATGGTGGCTGTCTGTCAGTGGTTATGGTGTCAGTGGTTATGGTCCCTGTCAGTGGTTATGGTGTCAGTGGTTATGGTGTCAGTGGTTATGGTGTGTGTCAGTGGTTATGGTCCCTGTCAGTGGTTATGGTGTCAGTGGCGGTGTCAGTGGTTATGGTGTGTGTCAGTGGTTATGGTGTCAGTGGTTATGGTGTCAGTGGTTATGGTGTCAGTGGTTATGGTCCCTGTCAGTGGTTATGGTCCCTGTCAGTGGTTATGGTGGCTGTCTGTCAGTGGTTATGGTGGCTGTCAGTGGTTATGGTGTCAGTGGTTATGGTGTCTCACCGTATCCCGGGGTCGCTGAGCGCGGTCTCCTCTCCGGGTCCCTCCCGGGGGCTCCCGCTCACACTGTTCCCCCGCTGGGCAGCTCTCTTCCTGCGAGTTAGCGATTCCCCGGAGTCCGCCATCTCCCGCGGGTCACCCTGTCCGCCCGTCAGGTGTAATACCGCCTCACACAGCGGGCGGCCAATCATAGCCCGGGAAACGGGACTGACACTCACAGCAACCAATCACAAGTCTCCAGGCAGCCGGAGCCCCGCCCCCTCACAGAGTCCAACTTCTCCAACTTCTCCTTCAGCTGGGAGAGTCCACACCCACCGGCCACGCCCACTGCAACTTCACGCCCCTCCTGGATACTCATGACACGCAATCAGTGTAACGCCCCTAACATCAATTCAACACCGCCCACTCTACAACCATGTGATCAAGCTCCAATCAGAAGCGTGGAGAGCATGCCGGGAAATGTAGTTTAAGAAGCTATTTGTGATCATTAGCTAGAGATGAAAGATTTAGCATTCAGGGCACCATAGGAAACAATGAGTGTATGGAGCCAGGACCAGGAACTGGCTGTAACCCACACCGACATCGAATGAGAGCACCGGGAACTGGCTGTAACCCACACCGACATCGAATGAGAGCACCGGGAACTGGCTGTAACCCACACCGACATCGAATGAGAGCACCGGGAACTGGCTGTAACCCACACCGACATCGAATGAGAGCACCGGGAACTGGCTGTAACCCACACCGACATCGAATGAGAGCACCGGGAACTGGCTGTAACCCACACCGACATCGAATGAGAGCACCGGGAACTGGCTGTAACCCACACCGACATCGAATGAGAGCACCGGGAACTGGCTGTAACCCACACCGACATCGAATGAGAGCACCGGGAACTGGCTGTAACCCACACCAACATCGAATGAGAACACCGGGAACTGGCTGTAACTCCCACCGACATCGAATGAGAACACCGGGAACTGGCTGTAACTCCCACCGACATCGAATGAGAGCACCGGGAACTGGCTGTAACCGACATCGAATGAGAGCACCGGGAACTGGCTGTAACCCACACCGACATCGAATGAGAGCACCGGGAACTGGCTGTATCCCACACCGACATCCAGGGTAAGGAGCACCGGGGCAGCTGTGAAACCCACACCGACGTGAATGAGAGCACCCGGGGAACTGGCTGTAACCACCGACATCGAATGAGAACACCGGGGAACTGGCTGTAACCCACACCCGACGCTCAGATGAGAGCACTGCCGGGGAACTAGCTGTAACCCGCACACCCGACGCCGAATGGAGCACGGGAACTGGCTGCCAGCCTTACCGACATCCGAGATGAGAGCACGGGAACTGGCTGTAACCCACACCGACATCGAATGAGAGCACCGGGAACTGGCTGTAACCCACACCGACATCGAATGAGAGCACCGGGAACTGGCTGTAACCCACACCAACATCGAATGAGAACACCGGGAACTGGCTGTAACTCCCACCGACATCGAATGAGAACACCGGGAACTGGCTGTAACTCCCACCGACATCGAATGAGAGCACCGGGAACTGGCTGTAACCCACACCGACATCGAATGAGAGCACCGGGAACTGGCTGTAACCCACACCGACATCGAATGAGAGCACCGGGAACTGGCTGTAACCCACACCGACATCGAATGAGAGCACCGGGAACTGGCTGTAACCCCCACCGACATCGAATGAGAGCACCGGGAACTGGCTGTAACTCCCACCGACATCGAATGAGAGCACCGGGAACTGGCTGTAACCCACACCGACATCCAATGAGAGCACCGGGAACTGGCTGTAACCCACACCGACATCCAATGAGAGCACCGGGAACTGGCTGTAACCCACACCGACATCGAATGAGAGCACCGGGAACTGGCTGTAACTCCCACCGACATCGAATGAGAGCACCGGGAACTGGCTGTAACCCACACCGACATCGAATGAGAGCTCCGGGAACTGGCTGTAACTCCCACCGACATCGAATGAGAGCACCGGGAACTGGCTGTAACTCCCACCGACATCGAATGAGAGCACCGGGAACTGGCTGTATCCCACAACGACATCAGTGAGAGCACCGGGAACTGGCTGTAACTCCCACCGACATCGAATGAGAGCAATTGTCCCGTTGCCCCCCTGGATCCACCAGTGATATATACAGCCCTTCTGTGAGCATTTTGGTCTCCTCCCGTCCCTCTGTATGTTTATTTCTCCCCCCTCCTTCCCAGTCTCTCTTACCCCTCTGCCTCTTTCTCCCTCTCTTCCACTGTTTTTCTCCCCCCTTTCCCTGTCTCTCTCTCCCCCACATCTCTCTTCCTCTCTGTCTCTTTCTCCCCCTCCCCATCTCTCTATTTCCCCTCTTTCTCACCCTGTGTCTCATTCTTCCCTCTTTCTCCCCTCTCCCCATTTCTCTGTTCCCCCCTTTTTCTCCACCTCCCCATATCGCTGTTCCTCCCTCTTTCTCACCCTCCCCATATCTCTGTTCCTCCCTCTTTCTCACCCTCCCCATATCTCTGTTCCCCCCTCTTTCTCTCCTCTCCCCATCTCTCTGTTCCCCCCTTTTTCTCCCCCTCCCCATATCTCTGTTCTCCCCTCTTTCTCCCCCCCTCCCCATATCTCTATTCCCCTCTTTCTCTTCTCCCCATCTCTCTGTTCCCCCTTTTTCTCCCCTCCCCCATATCTCTGTTCTCACTTCCTCCCCCTCCCCCATCTCTGTCCCCCCCTCTTTCTCCCTCTCCCCATCTCTCTGTTCTCCCCTCTCCCCCCCCTCTCCCCATCTCTCTGTTCCCCCTCTCCCCATCTCTCTGTTCTCCCCCTCTCCCCATCTCTCTGTTCTCCCCTCTTTTCTCACCCTCCCCATATCTCTGTTCTCCCCCTCTTTAAGCCCCTCCCCATCTCTCTGTTCTCCCCTCTTACTCCCCCCTCCCCATCGCTCTATCTCTCTATTGCCCCCTCTTACTCAAGTCAGAGGGGGCCGGCCGCATTTCATGCTGCAGCCGCCGGACCGGGTGGCAGCCTCGCCGGTCCGGCGGCATTCCTCTCACTAAAGCTGAAGGAGGAGGAGCATGTCTCTCTGTCATGCTCCCTGCGGTTCCCACAATTCCCAGCACAGGATGTGGGAACCGCAAAGGAGCATGACAGAGAGACATGCTCCTCCTCCTTCAGTGTTAGTGAGAGGAATGCCGCCGGACCGGCGAGGCTGCCACCCGGTCCGGCGGCTCCAGCATGAAACGCGGCCGGCCCCCTCACAGTGTGCCACCGGACCGGCCACCCGGTGGCACCTTCCACTGAAGTCCCCAGATGCCGGGCCCCCTGAAGGCGGCTCTGGCGGGGGACCCCCTCCCGGCCGGGCCCTCGGACCATGTCCGAAGTGCCCGACCGGTCAGTCCGCCCCTGATCATATGCCCTCTGAGGCGCCTTTTTGTAAGAAAACAAATCCAGTTTTTATAATCTAATGCTTTCCATCCCCCTTACTAGTTTTGTAGCTTACCTCTGCAAATTTTGTAGTTCTGCAAAATAATTTTTTAAAACAGGTGCCCAAAAATTGCACCCCATAATCAAGGTAGGGTCTGTAATGTGGCAAAATTATATTTGAATCATGTGAATTAAAACCCCTTTTTATATATGAAAGCACCTTACTAGTTTTAACTACCTGTAAAAAAATCTAATATTTTAACTTCCAGTATTGCACAGTCTGTTTAATTTAGAAGTGCTTATTTCCTGCTCTGTTAATAGCCTTTTAGACCCTGCACGAGCCTCCTGTGTGTGATTACATTTTAATTTACAGAGCATTGAGATAAACACTTCTAAATAAAGTTAACAACTGATTGAAAAGGAAACCATATGTTTTTTTCAAGCAGGCTGTGTGAGACACAGCCAAGGGAGGTGTGGTTAGGGCTCCATGGACAGAAACAAAAGTGATTTAACTACTAAATGGCAGAGATTTGAGTAGTGAGACTTCAGGGACATGTTCTATACACTGAAACTGCTTCATTAAGCTAGCGTTTTGATGCCTATAAATTTGAAATTCACCTTGATTTCTCACTTTAGTTAATAACCCTGTTGATGAATGTGCACAAAATGTGATCATATGCTGGAGAAATACCAGCAACTAAAAAAAATACAATTCCCACAATACACTGCTTTTTTTGCCTTACCAACTTACAAACTGATTATAAATCATGGTAGTTGTTCATCAACAGCTGGAGAAGGATGTCCTGACTACCTTTGCTCTCCATGATTATTGCAGTAAAATGAGGAACATGATCTAAACAATAGACAATGTGTACTCTAACAAAAGAAATGTATCGAGGTATGCTGTGTGAATGTTCAGAAAAAGACTCTGCCCAGTTCTAGGTAATTCGAACATCCCTTAGCTTCTCATACCAGCGATTTTCAGAATTAGATTTAACACGCCACACACTCACAAACCAGTCTTTGAAATAGAATACAACAAAAAAACTACATAGAAATAAATCAAATGCTCAGTGAAGTGTAAGAAAAGGCATGTTGTAGTAAGCATGGCTGGTTTTACATTTGTCTGTGTCTGATCTAAAATTTGATAAGCTATCATATTTTATTGAAGATTCATTTTCAAAGCTTTTCACAATCAATGTTCCCTTTGTCCAAAACTTAACAAGTTTTGAGGAAATGGAAAAAAATATATATGCTACAGACCTGCCATATGAAATTCCTTTCCGATATAACCCAAACTTTTAAAGAAACTCACCTGATCACTGTCGGAATTCTATATACAGTTGCAATAAAAAGTATGTGAACCCTTTGGAATGATATGGATTTCTGCACAAATTGGTCATAAAATGTGATCTGATCATCATCTAAGTCACAACAATAGACAATCACAGTCTGCTTAAACTAATAACACACAAAGAATGAAATGTTGCCATGTTTTATTGAACACACCATGTAAACATTCACAGTGCAGGTGGAAAAAGTATGTGAACCCTTGGATTTAATAACTGGTTGAACCTCCTTTGGCAGCAATAACTTCAACCAAACGTTTCCTGTAGTTGCAGATCAGACGTGCACAACGGTCAGGAGTAATTCTTGACCATTCCTCTTTACAGAACTGTTTCAGTTCAGCAATATTCTTGTGATGTCTGGTGTGAATCTCTTTCTTGAGGTCATTCCACAGCATCTCAATCGGGTTGAGGTCAGGACTCTGATTGGGCCACTTCAGAAGGCGTATTTTCTTCTGTTTAAGCCATTCTGTTGTTGATTTACTTCTATGCTTTGGGTCATTGTCCTGTTGCAACATCCATCTTCTGTTGAGCTTCAGCTGGTAGACAGATGGCCTTAAGTTCTCCTGCAAAATGTCTTGATAAACTTGGGAATTCATTTTTCCTTCGATGATAGCAATCCGTCCAGGCCCTGACACAACAAAACAGCCCCAAACCATGATGCCCCCACCACCATACTTCACAGTTTGCAGGAGGTTTTGATGTTGGTGTTCCGTGCCTTTTTTTCGCCACACATAGTTTTGTGTGTTTCTTCCAAACAACTCAACTTTGGTTTCATCTGTCCACAAAATATTTTGCAAGTACTGCTGTGGAACATCCAGGTGCTCTTGTGCAAACTGTAAACGTGCAGCAATGTTTTATTTGGACAGCAGTGGCTTCCTCTGTGGTATCCTCCCATGAAATCCATTCTTGTTTAGTGTTTTACGTATTGTAGATTCGCTAACAGGGATGTTAGCATTTGCCAGTGACTTTTGTAAGTCTTTAGCTGACACTCTAGGATTCTTCTTCACCTCATTGAGCAGTCTGCGCTGTGCTCTTGCAGTCATCTTTACAGGACGGCCACTCCTAGGGAGAGTAGCAGCAGTGCTGAACTTTCTCCATTTATAGACAATTTGTCTTACCGTGGACTGATGAACAGCAAGGCTTTTGGAGATACTTTTATAACCCTTTCCAGCTTTATGCAAGTCAACAATTCTTAATCATAGGTCTTCTGAGAGTTCTTTTGTGCGAGGCATCATTCACATCAGGCAATGCTTCTTCTGAAAAGCAAACCCAGAACTGGTGTGTGTTTTTTATAGGGCAGGGCAGCTGTAACCAACACCTCCAATCTCATCTCATTGATTGCACTCCAGTTGACTGACATCTCACTCCAATTAGCTCTTGGAGATGTCATTAGTCTAGGGGTTCACATACTT